ACAGTCAAGTTTGAGGCCATCCTGAGCTACATGAAAGCTTGCCTCAATATAAATCAAATAAAGATGGTATATTAGGGGATGTGCCAGGCAAAACACCTAGGGCACCCATCACTGGCTACACTGACCCTCTTCCTGTCCCCACCTAGGTACTGGCAAGCTGGGCTTCTCCTTCGTGCGCATCACAGCCTTACTCATTGCGGGCAACCGTCTATGGGTGGGCACTGGCAATGGGGTTGTCATCTCCATCCCCCTGACTGAGAGTAAGTTCCCAACCCTGGAGGACTCTATCGAAAAAGCAGCAGCTGTGCTAAAGAGTTCCCAGAGTAGGTGGGTCAGGACCACCTCTCTGGCCAAACTCAGCCTTCTTTCCTTTCTCCTCCACAGCTGTGGTCCTGCATCGAGGCCAACTTTTGGGGCTCCGAGGTAAGTTCTCAGCATTTGCCCCTTGTGGCCTAGGCCATTTGCTATGCCCCCAGCACTCACTGTCTCCAGCTGCCTGCTGAAAATAAGGTGGTCCTAGTCTCCTGTCTCTGTTTTCCCAGCCAACAAGACATCTCCAACATCTGGGGAGGGGACCCGCCCAGGGGGCGTCATTCATGTGTATGGGGATGACAGCAGTGACAAGGCAGCCAGTAGCTTCATCCCCTACTGCTCCATGGCTCAGGCTCAGCTCTGCTTTCATGGGCACCGTGATGCTGTCAAATTCTTTGTCTCTGTGCCAGGTACACACATGCTCTTTAACCCACTTTGCTAGTGTAGCACAGCTGTAACCTTTTCCGGAGGCTACAGCCCTGAGATTCCTCTGCCCATGACAGGAAATGTGCTGGCCACACTCAATGGCAGTGTGCTAGACAGCCCATCAGAGGGCCCTGGGCCTGCTGCACCTGCTGCAGATTCTGAGGGCCAGAAGTTGAAGAACGCACTGGTGCTGAGTGGTGGTGAAGGTTATATCGACTTCCGCATTGGTAAGTAGGCACAAACTAGAGGTAGGGTCCGGTGTGGGCATGTGGGAGTCCTAATGGCTGCCAATCCTCTAGGGGACGGCGAGGATGACGAAACTGAGGAAGGTGCCGGGGATGTGAATCAAGTGAAGCCCGTGTTGTCCAAGGCTGAGCGCAGCCACATCATCGTATGGCAGGTGTCCTATACCCCTGAGTGAGCACCTGCCCTGCCTGATGCCAACTGTATATAGGACCCTACTTGCCTGCCCCCCTGCCTGTTCCCTGGGGCAGTCAGGTTCGTCCATCCCCTTTTAACCTCTCAACTTGCAGCTTTTGCCTGAGGTCCAGCCCCCAGCTGTTAGAGAGGGGTGAAGCAAGTTTTGGGGAGTAAGGCAGGAGCAGATGTCTTTCCCATCAGGGAGGAAAGAGCCTCTGGGACACCCTCTCCAGCAGCTCCTGGCCCAGGGCCTAGCCAGCACCAAGCCCAAATGAAGTCCCAGGGGCCCCTCAGGGTAAGTCAGGACCAAGAATGCTATGGGCAGCCCCCTCAGGTGGCCCTGGCTCCACTCAGGCCTCATCAGTGCTGGCAGGAGCAAGAGCCTCATACTGCTGAGTCTTCCCCAAGTCTACTTGCTTTGCATGCAGCCCTGAGGAAGGGTTTCCTGGTCCCAAACACTTGCTCTCCCTGAGGGACCCAGACCGATACACCATCCTCAGCCCAGAAAACAGGCCAGGACTGTCTAGCTTCCTGGACCTCAGCCAGCCTTCTCTGGGCTTTTCCCCATCTCCAAACGTACATTCCCTTGGCCCCCAGCGTGGGTCTTACCTGGGAACCTGGCATGAAAGCTCAGGGCCAGCCTCCCTGGGGCAGCTGCTTCAAAAGATGACAAATATCCATTAACCCAAGGGATCCCAAGATTGTCCAGCCCCTCATGGATCAGTGTCCCCTAGGCTCTTCCTGGGCACAAGATTCATCTTGGAGGAGCAAGACTATAGTGCCCTGCCCCTCTCAGAATCTCCAAGGGTTGAATTTCTCAGGCTGCCAGGGCAGGCACAGGCCTCAGGAAGAAGGGTGGCCCTGGTGTCCCCAGAGTCAGTCCTAGGATGCAGGCTCAGCCTCAGGTTAATGGAGGATGGTGTGCTCCCAGGGCCTGCCTCATGCACAGGGCTCCAAGGAGCCCAACTCCCAGACACGTACTAAGTGCCTAGGGTTGCCAGCTGTGGCCTGCTCCCTTGGAAAGCAACTAACCAGAGGCTGCCAGGCAGAGGCCAGAAGAACCGAGAGTTGGCCAGGATGGGCACAGTTATAAGCAAGTGTGTGGAGGCAGGTGCTGCCCTGGCCCTGGTCTTACTCTTCAGGGGCATTGATCAGGGTCAGCTGGCCTCTACTGCCCTCTCCCCACCAGAGAAGCACAGATCCAGGGGGGTTGCCCCTGAGCCCATCTGGCCATGACAAGCTGCATCAACATGCAGCTGCAGGCTTCTCCCCGCCACCCTGCCACCTCTCCACTGTGATGTATGTCCCTTGTCTGTTCCCACAGGAGTGTGAAGTGACGGGTTAGCTGGGTGGGTGCAGCTGGAGGAAGGGGCCAGTGCAACTCTCCTCAGGCTTTGGCCTTGCAAGTGAACTCACATATCTGCTCTGTATGTAATAAATGTCTTAACACTACTTTTGTCTTGAAACTACACCAGTGCACAAGGGTTTTCTGCAGTTTATTATGAAAACAAATACAGGGAGGGATGTGGGATGGCTGTCCCTGGACAGACTAGGTTGGGTGGACCCGCACGCACCCACAGCACTATCTGTGAGGATCGCAGAAGATCAACAACCTCCACGTTGGTAATGGTGAATTCCATACCATCTACTCATACAGCCAATGCCCGGCGCTGTCCTCCCAGCACAGAAGCTCATCCTCACGGAACCAAAGCGCAATCTCTCTGTGAGCACTTTCCACCGAGTCACTGCCATGAATCACATTCCTGTGCGGGAATGGCTAGTGAGCACAAGAGGAAGTGGGGGGGGGGGGCAGAGAGTTTGGTAGTACTTACTTGCCAACCTCCACGCAGAAATCCCCACGGATGGTGCCAGGAATAGCGTCCCCTGGGTCAGTGGCCCCTATGAGGGCCCGTGAAGCACGTACGACGTCCAGCCCTTGCCACACCTGAAGGAACTACTGTCAGCACGCTAAGGGCTTCCAAGGCTTCGCCCTCCCCTTGCAGGTCATCAGAAACTCACCATGGCCACTACTGGACCAGAGCTCATGTATTTAACTAATCGGCTGTAGAAGGGTCTCTCGTGCAGCTCGGCATAATGCTCCCGCAGCAGCTCTTCGGAGGCCTAGGGGAGGGGTGGCTTATCAGTGCCAGGGCCCTGACCCTAGACCCACTCGATTCCCTTCCTGAATCCACAAGCTCCTTTGTGTGCCCATACCTTCACTAGCTTTAGTGCCACCAGCTTGAAGCCCTTCCTCTCAAAGCGACGCACGATCTCACCCACCAGCCGCCGCTGCACGCCGTCGGGCTTCACTGCCAAGAACGTGCGCTCGTTCACGCCGCTGTAGGCTGCGGGAGCACTGGCTTCAGACATGCCCCACCGCACTGCCCCCAGCCCGGCCCCAGCCCGCCCTGGTGCTCACCTGCGGGAAAGAGGTTGGCGAAGATGGTTAGCACCAGACAGATCATGGCGGCGGATGGGGCGGACCAGGCGGCGAGGGGGCGTGGCCTGCCTTAAAGGACCTCCGGGCTCGGCCTCTGCAGTCCCAGCACTTTTTGAGCCCAGGGCACAGCGGCGGCGCCCTGGACCTGCCCTGCGTGAACTGGAGCACCAGGAGCCCTGCTCCTCCGCAACCCCGGTTTCCCTCCCCTGTAATGAAACCACAACACAGGCCACTACGTGCATTTATTTCTAGACGGAGGTATGAACAAAAGGCCACCTGAAAATGATAGCCTGTCAGCTGCCCCATCATTCATTGGCAGGTGTGTCAGGGTCTAACTCTCCACCAAAGGGGAGGTTTGGCACAGTCTAAGACACTTGTCCGTCAAATGACAAACATGGCCACTCTGCCCATCCTGGCAGTTAGACTGGGGTGCCCTTGGCCTTCCCTTTGGTCTCCTGTTTTGCAGGGTAGTCCCAAGGAGGCACGCAAGTCCTCTCGAGGTTTAGAAGCGGCTCCTGGGTGCTGGTATCCCCGTTTTTCTGTCGTTCAGCGAGGATCATGGCCCGCAGCAGAGGTGGGTAGGGGACAGGGTTCAATCCGTCCTCTGGTTTTGCAGTGAACGAAGTAAAGGCCTCCTCTTCGTGCTTGGGTACCAACCGCCAGTCGTGGTACATAACTTGCTCGATTTCCCGAGCCTTATCCTCAGTCTTCCCTGGGGAAAGAAGATAAACTGTCTGCTGGCTGGATAATCTGCGAACCATCACCGGCTACAACCATCACCCAGCCTTACCTTTGAAGGTCAGGATGCCCCAGGCTCTCCCGTGGTCCAGGTTCTGCAGAACAAGAGGAGGGACTGTCAACATAGCGCCCCTGCCACCCTTACGTAAAAGCCCCGGTAGTTCAGGGTGGGTAGAACAAGCTGACGGGCAAGATGGAGAAAGTGTAGACAAGAACGGGCGGCACAGTGAGAGAGAGCACCTGTGCAGTGTAGTCGGGTCTCACACGCGTGAGGCGCCAGTAGCACGGCTCGTCGTGCTGCCACAGCCAAGACTTGCGGGTGACCAGACGGCCCAAGCCGAACACTGGGAGGCGGGCGAGCAGCTGAAAGAGGCGGCTCTCACGGCGCACGTCGGCCCAGGCGCGCACCGGCAGCCGGCGACCCGAGTGTGGCCGGGTCAGAGTCTCGTAGTCTAGAGCATAGAGCTGCGAATCAGGCGGCTGATTCCGCTGCTCGCGCAAGGCGCGCACGCGGCGGGCCAGCTCGGCGATCAGCCGGGGTCTCACTTTCTTCCGCGCCATGCCTGTGTCCTTACACCACCGGAAACCTGCACTTATCAGGAAGCGGCTGGTGTCCCGAACAAAAACATCCGGGTACATCCGGAAGCCGTAAGAAAGGTGAGCTATGGAAGAGGTAGTACCCAAGAGAGTCGCGGGCCCGTCTTGCGGCCGGGGCCGGTGTCGGAGCCGGGGTCAGCGGCGACCTCAAGCCTGGGAGATCTCTGACTCAGAAGGCGAAGGTGCCACCGCTAGGGAGGTTGGCACGCAAGTCTCGAGTACAGTAAGAGAGCACAGGGCTGCGTCCAAGGCGTTACGGGCGGATCAGGTCCTGAGTCGTCTGACAGTGTGCGTGGATCCAGGTGCGGGGCCGGGGGCGGAGAGTTTGGGAACTTGGGGCTGGCCATATATCAGGGTGGCGTCGTCACCCACAAGCCCTCCTGGGAGAGGGTGGAATGACCGAGCTGTCGCCTCCCGGGCCCAGCTGTCCTGGAACATGCAGGCTCCGACATCCTGATGGAGGCGCTGGGCTCGCTAGGGTGTGAATGCCGCATCGAGCCGCAGCACCAGTCCCGCAGCCTGCAGTGGAGCGTTGCGAGGCCCGACCCAGCCCCCAGCAGTGTGAGTGTCTCCCTGTCACCAGCCCCCAGCAGTGTGAGTGTCTCCCTATCACCAGCCCAGTGCCAGACTTATTTCAGGTTTCACTTTTGCCTCTGGCTAGCGAGGTAGTTCCATTCATCTTTCTTGCCTCGCACAGGAGTAACCTAAAAGCTGAAAGCTGAGGGATACCCTTGTCACATTTCTTAACACAAGAAACCTGAACTCAATCGCTACTAGAATCTCCTGGTGGCGATGAGAATGGGTCGGGGTTCCTGCTGTTTGTGGAGTTAGGCTAGTTTTGTACTCTGGGACTTCTCAGGAGCAGTCCCGGCAGGCCTGAACTTCACTGTATGGAGAGTTGGAGTTATTGATAGTGTTTGGTGGCTGGGCAACCCAGGGTGGGGGGAGCCTTGGGCCCTCACAGGTGGTTAGCAGGACCAGTAATGTCCCTACAGGTGCCTCTGGAGGCACGGGCTGAGAATGAGCAGGAACAGTTGCTGCTGCTAGACCCTCAGGAGTTTCTTCAGAGCGCCATGCAGCTGACCCAGGTACTTGGGGAAAGACCCGTTATTTTGCCTTGCAGAGCTGGTTCCCCAGTCTGGCATGGGCTGGAGCTACCATAGAGATGTTGAGGGAAATAGGAGGAACCCTGCTGAGTGCTCTAGACACAAGAGCCCTGACAGTCCTTTGGAAGAACTAAGAATGGTGGTCTGGGCTGCAAGCTGGCCAGGGGTGGAGGAGGAAGCTACAATAGTGGCTGCTGGTGTCCATATGAGCTGGCTGTGGGGTCTGCCTACAACAGCTGATAATTCCTCATTTGACTGCTGGTGTTCCCTAGATTCAAGGGAAACAATACCTAACTGACCATTTTGCTTGGAGCACAATTCTGCTAAACTCTTTGTGGGCGCTGGTGTCCAAGGGCCAACATTTGTCAAGCACGAGCTGGGTGGCCAGCCAGTGGCCAGCTTGGGTGTAGAAGTGGACCAGAGGCAAAGGGACTGACTCACTTCTACACCGCACCTGGAGTGTGCCTGAGTACTCCTGGCCTTAAGGAAGCAGAGCCACTCCCCAGAGAACAGGCTGGACCTGTGAACTCATCCAGTCCCTCTGCCCTCTGGAAACCAGCCATCCTGTTGGCTATGGGCCTGTAGCCACAGCCCTCCTGTGGACAGGCATGTGTTGTTCTTGCTTTCAGATCACAGGCCCACCTTGCTCCACGCCCTGGCTTTCTCCCGATAGTTCCACCCGCCCCCGCCTGGCTGTCATCGGGCTGGATGCATATCTATGGTACCACTCTCCCCAACCCAGTAGGGCTGGCTTGGATGGGATTCTAGAAAAAATGGGATTGCCTCTAGGGGCTGCTGTGTCACAGTGGGCTCCACTTGCCCTGGGAGGGCCCTGCAAAAGCAAGAGCAGTAGGAGCCGAAAGATCACCTCTGTTCCGGTCTCACCAACCCAGCTCTCAGAAGACATGGCCGTTAAAGAAGTCAAAGGACCCCCATGCCAACGTGGCCATCAGCTGGTCTGAGGTGGAAGAGGTGAGGGCTGCCACTGGATGAGGTAGATGGCTAACCTTGGTCTCTGCACTTGGGCTGCTGTCTTCAGCCTGTCAGAGTTGGGTTTGGTTTCTAGCATAACTGGCTTGACATTCCTCAGAGGTCATTCAGCCCATCCCACTCTTACGCTTCACAGGCCCTGGTGCTGCTCCAGCTCCAGGCAAACCTGGATGTGCTGCTGGTGGCCTCGTGGCAGGAGCTGAGTCAGTATGTGTGTGCCTTCACCAAGGCCCTCTCTCAGCGCCCCTCTAAGTATGTACCCCGCAGGGACTGAGTGGAGGTGGGACAGGACTGGACAGCTGCCCTGATGAAGGGTCCTCAAAGTGTCTGTCTGGGTTTCCCTCATTTCAGGCAGTACCGAGACTCCCTGGCCTTTTCCTTCTGCACAGCAGGGCACTGGGCCTCAGGCCAGCAAGTGACCAAAGAAGGCTCTGGGCTCCGAGGAGTGTGGTGGCGGCAAATCAGACAGTTCAATCGGGTCAGCTCAGCTGTGGCTGATGCTGTTGTCACCGCCTTCCCCTCCCCCCGCCTTTTGCAACAGGTGAATCGCCCAAGTCCCCTCTCCCAGGACTAGAACCTAAGGCCCACTTACTCATACCTGTGCCCACTCTAGGCTCTACTGGACTGCAGCACGGAGCAGGAACGCCTGAGTCTCCTAGCTGACCTCCCTGTGAAGGTCCACCGAGGCAGGCAGCCCCGCAGGGTGGGACCGGACATCTCACGCCGAATCTGTGTCTTCCTGACCACCACCAACCCCGACCTCCTGCTGGACCTGAGCTCTTGACCACACCTGTGACAGACACCCTTGGGCTGCCTCCTGCCCATCAGCAGAAAAGGATAAGCTGCCCAAGAGACTGATAGTCACTAAGAGGCAGGAAGGTTTGGGTTCAGCCACCATACTTTTTTAAGTCTGGGGGAGACGATTGTTCTCTGGTCAGTTGAAAGCACCATGGGAGGTGAGGGGGTAAGGGAAGCTGGAGTGAACAGAAGAATCTGGAGGGTAGTAGGCAGTAAGGGCCCTGGAGTGCCTGGGGTGTCAGCGAGCCCTTAGCCTTGGCCTGGTTGCAGGAAGCCTGGTGGCAGGGCTGAGTACCCAGTTGGGCAATTCCCACTCCCATTGTTATTTGGAAGCTTAGGGTAGAGCCTCAGGAAGTAGTACTAAGAGACCTTCAGAAGAGATCCAAGCTACTGGACAGACAGACACAGTGGAAGGCAAACCATAGGCACAGGCAGCTCAGGCCCTACTGAGGACTCATAATTTTAATGTTATAGCCTATGGGAATGAGACAAAAGCCCTTCACAGGGAACCCACTGACATCTCTGTAATGGGCAAGAGCTGACAACATGCAATTGCAAGTCAGAAAAACCTCAAGGCCCTCTGGGTTGGGATAGCACATGTCCTCTTCCCTGGCCTGAGTGTTTCACTGAGTCAGCTAGCATCCCAGGCGTGTAATCTAGGTCCAGAAGCGTTTGGGCTGTTGTTCCCAAGACACACAGAACAAACAGGAGTGCTGCCTTCCCACCAGCACATGCAGTAGAATGGCCTCCACCCTCCATGGCCAACAGGGAAGGTTGTCCTGGCTTCAGAGAGATGGGGACAAGCCTAGACAGACCTGTTTCCCACCCTGCTGCTGCCCTGGAAGGTACAGAAGATGGTGGTTGCGCTCCAGCTGGAGAAGTCAGCTTCTTCTGCAGCGCTTCCTCTGACAGGGCCTGCTTTCAGGGCTCGTGGCACCAGCTGTGGCTGTGCCAGAAGCAGGTCCAGGGGACTTCCGGCGGTTGCAGTTCATGCTCAAGACCCAGCCCAGCTTGTTATGCAGCACTTGCTTAAGGCCAGGGGGCAAGGGCAGGCCCTCGAGGGTGTCCCCTGAGTTTGGCCGCAACTGGCGCAGGCGGTAGCAGCACAGGTACTGCAGGGAGGTGGAGCTGGCACAGGAGCGGATGACTTTCATGCTGCTCTTGGCGGCTGTGGAGCACACCATTGGGTAGAACCTCCGGTTTTGCAGCCGAGTGGCAGCCACTCCTGAAAGGAAGACTTAGCCTGAGTGTCATATAGGTCAGATGCTAGGAAGCTCCTCCCTAATACACCACGGTGAAGAGCTCATGCCACTCTGAACAGAAGCCTGGCTCAGCTCTGGCCTGCTAACCCCAGCCTGGCGTCAGCCCTGTCCACCCTTGAGAGCTCCAGATCACAGACTGCCTGACCCCCACCCTAGAGGCTCCCCTCTCTGCTCTCCAGCGTCAGGGGAGACCTGGTCACGAAGGTACCCTCACCTATGCACTTCCTGTTCTTGAAGAAGGTCAGTGTCCCATGCCAGGTGTCCAAGTGTACACCAATAATAGAGCCCTGGCCGAAGCGTGAAGAGAAGCTCGTCTTGTCACCTTTATGATGGAGGAGCCCTGGGAGCAGTAGATGGGTAAGCCTGGGAGAGGTCTGTAGCACTGCTAGGCCTAACCACTACCCTGAAATACCCACCAGTGTAGGAGAGGCCCCAGCTGTCTTCATCCCTGCCAAGCAGGCTGCAGAACGTGTGGTGGTACTTGTCCAGGTCTACATCTGATGTCCCAATGCCCACCATCTGCAAACAGGGGGGCTGGGCTGCTTAGGTGTCTAGGGGCAGGGCCCATGGCAGCTACCCTCTTGCCTGGCCATTTACCATGTCAGTGCCATACACAGGAGAGGTCATCTTGATTTCCCAGAAATGTTGGCCATCCCCTAGCTCCTTAGTGCCCCGAATGGCTGCAGTGCCACAGCTATACTCCATGTGAAAGCTGACCTTACGATTATCACAGCTCAGCAAGGTGGCTGAGGACTTGTTCAGGTCATCCCAGACCCAATCAAAATCTGTAAGACAGAGGGCCCAAACTAGGCAGAGCTGGAGCAAAGCAGTACCTATTCGTCCCAGAGAACCTGCCCTGCCCAGCCGCCCGGGGAACAGGGCACTCACCCTCATCCTCCTCACCACAGCGACAGTCCTTGCCACGGTGCGTTGTGTGCAGACTGTTGCAGAAGGTAGCCTCATTCTGGCCCTCACAGTCACAGAAGGACTCTCCTGTCACAGGCACAGCACTGGGGATGGATGGTGGCAGGGAAGAGTACTCAGGGTCAGAGTCTGAGTCGCTGTGCTGGGAGGGAAGGGGCAGATTGCTCTATTTATGGCAGATTCCCCATGGCCAGGCTACCTGACCCCTTCTCATATCCACCAGAGAAGAATCCTGGGGTTCTCCAGTGTCCAGCATAAGCAACCTCAGCACTAAAATCGACTTCTAACCCTGGAAGAGTGCAGTGAAATGGGGAGGTGACCTGAGGGTGATAGCTTCTCACTCAGCTTCTCAATGGAACTCTGAAACTCAATATACAGCTCAGCCCCATTTTTGCACAGCTAGAAGCCCACATAAGATGGGGCTCTCCAGGTCTCCTAAACCATGGAGCGGAGCTGGTTCTATCAGCAAGGTCTAGCATCCAGCTCCTCACAGCCCTAAGACCTAAGCCTTAGGATGTGTGCTCCTACCCCATGTAAGGTCACTGAAGGCAAAAGGACCTCACTTGATGAGTCCTAATGGACTCATGCGTCTGCTTCAAGCCCCAGCTGCACCAAACTCCTCCAAAGGTGCAGTCCTTGGGGCTTGAGCTCAGTCCTCAGCCTAGTGGAGGTGTAAACACAGCTGGGCTGGTGGTCAAGTTGCAGCTACTGACACTGTTCCCATTCAGCTGCTCTGCGGGCCCCTGGGCCCCCATTCTGATGCTAGGCTAGCTGGCTCGGCAGTCCCTGAAGCTTTGGCCTCTGCCTCCTTGAGCTGTCTGGCCCTGCCATGCCCCACACAGTCCACGCCCCTTGTGTAACCTGAGCATCATCTACCATCCACCCTGGAGTTACATCTGCCCAGCCACATAGCCAGCCCTGTTGTGGCCACCAGGTGATCCCTGCATTCTCTAGATGGGAGCAGTCAGCCAACAAGAGGAGCCTGGACCACATCTTTCACCCTATATTCTCTTCACAATACTCAGGTTCTCCACTATCCTGTCTTCTGCTTGCAATATCACCAGCTTGAGGAGGTGCCAAATCGCATACCACGTCCCAAGAACCATCATGGTGGTTAGACAGTACCACGAACAAGTGAGGAAGTGGCCAGCAACAGACAGCTGAGGGGGGACTAGAAACTGACCTCCACTCCAGGCTGTGTAGTTGGAGTAGTAACTCCACAAGGAGCCAGACAAAGATATTTGGTCAACCAACGTGAACTTAGGTTCCTCAGAAGCCAGCCAGAACAGCTATCTTGCCTAAAGGAAAGGCTTATACCCAATAGAGCAGACCTTGTACCCACTGACAAAGATAGGTTCTCCTAAAGCCAAGGAGTCAGGATACAAGGTAAATCTACCTAGGAGACAGGAGGGAGGATGTTGTTCAACCCAAAAAAGGGCCCAGGGACACCAGGAACTGCCACCTGACTACGCGGCCCTGCAAGCTCATGACTTGACAGGCATGTGTGTGTCACTGCTTCCATCCCTCAGTGATGGCTGAGACGGGGGCAGGCATAGAGGCTGCTCCAAGGTACACTGTCATTAGATCTAGCTGAAAGTTTGGGCTGACCTCTAAAGCTCTGATGCCCCCAAGAAGGGCCTGGGACACTGCTGACCAAGTCAGTAATCTACGGCTTCCAAGTTTTCCTCACAACCTGGTGAGGGACTGTGCTGCAGGGAGCTGTGATATCAGAGTAGAGGCAATGAAGGGCGGAGCCAGAATACCAGTCCAGTATAGCAAGACAAATGAGCCACCCCAGGAGCCTAGTCATGTGTATCATGGTATCTGCCCTGTGCCTTGCATTCCTGGGCCTCCCTGTGCCCAGAGTCTGCCACAAAGGAAGTCTTGGAAATTTGAACTTCAAGAACTACAGATTAAAAAAAAAATGTTAATGACCTGAGTTTGATCCCAAGGGTAGAAGGAGAGCACTTGACTCCTGTAAGTTGTCCTGGCCCCATACTCGGCATATCACACATGTGCCCACACAATAAATAAATTGCCTAACTCCAAGGCCAGCCTGTGGTATAGTGTGAGACTTCCTAAAAAGAAGCTTTGCATGGTGGCACATGCCTTTGATCCCAGCATGTGGGAAACAGAGGCTGGCAAATCTCTGAGTTCAAAGCTAGCTTGGGCTAGATCCAGGAAAGCCAGGGTTACACAGAGATGTCTCAAAAAGGAAAAAAAAGATCGCGTATCCTTTTACACACAATATATGATGTGAATATTTATACGCACAAATATAAAGTGAATATCTGTAGGCTCAGCATGTGTATGCTTGCTAGTGTACATCAAGGACAACCTTAGGTTTGATCCCCAGACCCCAAATGAAGACAGAAGGAGAACAAGCCCCACATAGGAAAGAAAAGTGTCTTCTGGCATCTTCTCATTAACTGTGGCACACAAAAATATCCGGAAGGTGGGTACTAAGTTGGCAACAGCTATTCTGGAAATTGGCAGGCTGATGAACAGGCATCTGTTGTACACTGACCAGCAAGGGTCCCTGTCGCTCTTGAGTCTCTATCACCCTCAGGCTACACGGTCTTTTCCACCTACCTCAGAGTCTTTTTCACTCCCCATCCATACACTGGTCATTCCCACCTTGCTACTGAGACCTACCTGCCCATCAGAGTCATAGCCCCAGTCAGCTCGAGCATCTGTGTCTCGGCGGGCTGCACTCAGAACAAAGTGCCATGCCCTGCTACTCCGTGGACGCCGGGCCATGGTGGAGAGTACCTGGGGGGGAAAACATAACTATAAGTCTTAAAGCCATGTAATGTGTCAGAGTACACAAACAAAGTCCGTACCCAAACCCCACAACTCTGCCCCCTGGCATTTCTGGGCCACCTGGCAGAATAGGTCATAGACCCATCAAGGATGGGGACTCCAGGAACTCCCACAAGCTCATACCTGGCTCCAGTATCTGAGCGCCTCAGTCAGGCCCAGGGCGATGGTGTGAAACACAACCCAGACAGCCATAACTCTGGAGATGCCCCAGCCCATCTCTACATTCCGTTCAGGAGCTGCTGCCCCTCAGGCATATGACACTTAACTTGCTCCTCCTCCGATGTCCACTTTGGCAAGTGGCATCCCCAGCATCCAGTTCCTCATGCCAGAAACACAGCTGTCATCCACTCCTGACACCCCTTCTTCCAACACACCTGAAGTGGTTCCTCCTTGTCGCTGGAGACCCACTGCTTGCTGCACCACACGACTCCCTCTCACCCATCCCGCTCCACACACTACAAACCCAGTTCAGTCTTTGATATAATCTTAAACGTACTCGGGCCTTGACGTCGGTCTTGGGACAAAATGCAAGGCTACGGGAGGGCTGGACCTCCTCTCCTGAGTGGACTCCCTGGGTCTAATAGTCAGCTCTGTCCTAGTTGCCTCCCATCCCCTGCAAACCCACTCTGCACTACCCTACCTCGCACCGGCCACCCACAAAGGGGCCGAGCTCGGCCGCGCCCAGCACTCCGCAGCAGTGGGGCTGGGTGAGCGCCGTACAGGAGCACACAGTAGGAACCCAATGAATGAACCAGAGACGTCCCGGGACGCGGTCACGCTCGGCCTCCGCGGGGCCAAGAAGTTGCTTCCCTCGCCAGAGGCTCGCGGATCTCGCTACGGCGATGTTGCTGGCGCCTGGTTCCGAGGTCTGCGCCCAGAAACCGGAGCGCCACCACCGGGGAACAAAGAGGGCCCGGTTTGACCGCCTGCAAGGTCAGCGCGCCGCCCGCCGGGCCTGGCCGGGCTGGGCCGGCGCGGCTCACCTGCGGCCAACGCGCTCTGCCGGCACTGACCCACTTTCCGTTCCGGCCGCGACGCAAACAATCCCCGCCCCCGCGCTGCATTGGCCGAGCAGCCGAAGGCGGGCTCTCCCGCGGCTTCCCGCGGGGCGGGTCTCGCGAGACAGAACTGCTGTCCAGAGGCTTAAACGACCTGTCAATCCTGAACCAAAGTTCCTACTGGTCCTCGCTAGAGCAGTCAAAAGGATTCTCGCATCACCATTGGGCAAGCATGCGGAAGTATATCTGTGTCCGTGGCGTCATCATCAGTTGCCAGGATCAGGACCTCTTTAGGTGACCTGATTGGCTGAAGGATGCGTGACTAGGCCTCTCAAGATGAGTCGGGGCGGACTCTTGTTGCCATTGGTTCAAAGCTCGGAAAGTTAGGAGAGGAAGAGGAAGCAGCGAAGATCAGCTGGTGGCGGGATGGAGGCGGTGGCTGGTGAGCGTGCGGGTCGGCCAAGCGTGAGGGGTCGGGGAAGTCTGAAGGCGGACCGAGTGCAGCGGCTTTCCCGTGGCCATGTCCCCTTGTTTACTGAGCCAGCCGAGTGACGCGGATGCACGTGTCGGCGGTTAAGGCTGCTCTCTCTAGGTGGTCCTCAGCATGACTCCTCCCAGAGAGCTGGAAGCCCTCTGCGGACTCTAATGTGGAGTCTGTGCATTCGTGCACAGGTGCCGCTTAGCTGTGCTTAACTGTCCTATTAGTTTCCTCTGTCTGCTGAAATTAGTTGGCGGTTTGAGGATTTGTCATAAATGAGCGTTCGTACACAGTGTCACGTGTACACGTGCCTTCAGTTACTTCACTTCAGACAGAAGTGAGACCGAGACAGGTCTGGGACTTTTAGAAGACTTCTACCTGGGTGCCTTTTTCTTTGTCACTCTCAAACACCCCAACCCTTGTTTCTCGCCAGAGCCCGGGAACCTGGCCGGCGTGCGAAATATCATCCTTGTCCTCTCTGGAAAGGGGGGAGTTGGGAAAAGTACCATCTCCACGGAGTTGGCCTTGGCACTGCGCCACCAGGGCAAGAAGGTGAGGCCCCCACCAAGGATGACACTGCTGCACGTATTGTCTCTAGCTTCCAGCAAGCCTGGAAGGCCTCTTTCCACCGCTAAGCATCCGCCTTCTTTCAGGTGGGGATCCTAGATGTAGACCTGTGCGGTCCCAGCATCCCACACATGCTCCGTGCAGAAGGCAAGGCAGTGCACCAGTGTGACCAGGGCTGGGTGCCTGTCTTTGTGGATCAGGAGAAGACCATCTCCCTCATGTCTGTGGGCTTCCTGCTGGAAAACCCGGATGAGGCAGTGGTGTGGAGAGGTCCCAAGAAACACGGTAAGAACTCGAGGGGGAGCACCCTAGCTGACTCTTCAGTAACTCTTTATTGTAGCTGCTTTCCCTTCTGTCATGTCTGCTGCCTTTGGTATTGGAGACTTTGTCCCGTTGCAATGCTTCCCCGACTTATGCATGCCCACCCAGGAGAATACACACACCTCGATGTCCCTGAGAAGCCCCTCACAGCTGTGACAGCTATGTCAGCCTCTGGATGGAGAGAGTGACGTGAGAAACCATTAGCCACTCCTAGTTCTTCTCCTAGTTAGGAAGGGAGGTCTACCGAGAGCCTTGTCCTCACTCAGGGTCTGAGGCACCACAGTGTGTGCTGGACCAACTGCTGAGCTTCAGGGAGGTGATTTAAGCCATCCTGACTGCAGTGAGAGGCCGCCTGGGAAGCACACCTAGAGTGAATGCCTTGCTGCTCCTGAGTGTGCTGGCACGGTGCTCCATGCCAGGCCATTGTCTCTGGATTGAGGACACAGATGCCCTTAGACTCAAGGTTCCATCCTAACCTGGGGCCCTCTGGGGGTCAGCTCCAGCCCTGTAGGATGGAGAGTGTAGAGACAGTTCAGTGCTAGTAGGTGGTACAGCTTCTGGGAAGCAAGGGGGCCCAGGAAACTCTGCCTCCCCAGTTACCTCGCAGATCAAGGACCCTTGCTACCATGTATGGCAGGTAGTCCCATTGTCCCCTGGGAGCTGCCCCGTAGCAGCTGGTAGATCCTGGGGCTGGACAAGATGGGCCCTCCCGTGCCTAACTCTTTATCAGGTCACTGTTGGTCTCTGGGATCTTTACAGCACTGATAAAGCAGTTTGTGTCTGACGTGGCCTGGGGGGAGCTGGACTACCTGGTTGTGGACACACCGCCAGGGACCTCTGATGAGCACATGGCCACTGTGGAAGCCCTGCGCCCCTATCGGCCCCTGGGAGCCCTCGTGGTCACCACACCACAGGTACCACTGGCATCTCCTCCATCCTCACCTGGGGCGTGTGTCTGTGAGTCTGTTCTGGCTGGGCTGGGCTGGTTTCTTGGTTCTTGGCTGACATGTGGCCGACTGGCCGCTCTCTCTGATCCACAGGCAGTGTCTGTTGGGGATGTGAGGCGGGAGCTGACTTTCTGTAGGAAGACTGGGCTGCAGATCATAGGCGTCATAGAGAACATGAGCGGCTTCGCCTGCCCACACTGCGCTGTGAGTCTCGGAAGACTGGTGGGCTATTTTAGGGTCTGAGGGGTACACGAAAGGGCAAGCAGTCAGGGATTTTGAGTCCATCAGTTCAGGTAAGTGACTTCCTGGCTAGAGAGGACACTGTTACTACCTGGGCATTGTCTCTGGAGCAGCTGGAGCTCTCACCCTGGCCGTGAGTCTCGGCATGGTGAGTGGCTCTGCACACTGGACCCTCACAGCCCTTGTTTCCTAGGAGTGCACCAATGTCTTCTCCAGGGGCGGTGGAGAGGAGCTAGCCCAGCTGGCTGGAGTCCCCTTTTTAGGTAAGTGTCAAGAACAAGCCAGCTGGGGCCCCAAATTCCATCTACCAGGCTTCTGAGTGGGTCTGACCAAAGTGTTAGGCCTCACTTCAGCATAAGGGTTCAATTTGAGGTTTACGTGGGCTGCCCATCACCCAGCTATATTTTGGGAGTGTGTGTGAAGGATACAGGCTCCTGCCACTTGTCCCATATTGTTTAAGTGGGAGGTCACATCGGCCAGCAGCTTGCGCTTCCAGCAAGTGAGTGGCAGGGTGACACTGCTCCCTGCTGCAGTCTTTTGCCAGGTCTCTGCTTACTTTTGCTTGTTCACCAGAGAGGGGCTTGTGAGTGTGCGTATGCCCCAGTGTACATGACACTTTGTGGGGTCACTTATCACCTTCTACCAGGTAGGTTCTGGGTATCGAACTCAGGTCATCAGGC